GAGGTGTGCTCTGATTGGCCAGCTATCCAGTGTGTTGTGATTGGCCGAATACCTCAAGTGTGTGACGGAAATGTCACGCCCCTTACTATATTTGGAAACACACAGCGTCCCCACAACACGGCGGCGGCAGCAACAATACTACAGCGAGGATCAAAGTTACGCTGCCTTTCTTAGCATAAACATTTGGGCGGTGTTATGCAAATCTTCCTACACAGTGATGTAGATTTGTGGGGGGGTGTTTAAACGAGGCGTTTTAGGAAGGTGTGGACGAGTCTTAACTTATAATACCTCTTCAGGTTTGAGACTTTAATCTTTGCAACTTTACAGATCTTATCAGATCTTAACAGCAAGCTCCATCTTATCAGATTGATCGGCTGTAACTAAAAATACTACTGACTTACACTGACAGACTGTTCTTAGTCAGTCTCAAAATGTTCATGATTTCAACCAAAATGTGTAAAAATATAAACTATAACTATAGTAGACCCCTACAAAACACTGGCTTGCCAGGCCAAAGGTTTGAACACAATTTTTAGTTTGTAGCCGGTTTTAAACTCACTGTATCGTGACACATTTCATATCCTGAGATCCTCTGCCGTAGATGTTGCCATGCTCATCTTTAACAGCAGCAAATGGATCATGCTTCCAGTGTTCCTGAAGCAGACGGGAACACAGTTTTTAAGTGAGATCTGACCCATGCTATGTGATCTGTACAGTGACTGACGTGTTACAGCAGAACCTCATAAACCGGAACCACATCAGTGTGTGAGTTCAGCATCACAGACTTCAGCTCCGGCCGGCTGCCGACCCACGTGATGATTGCAACGACTCGACCCGGACACACCTGAGGGGCAGGTTTAAATTAACATGGATGTGATTGATGAAAAACATGATTAGAGTTAGACAGATCCAGCAGTTAGTATCAATACCTCCACTTTCTTCATGGGTAAAGCCAGCTCCTCTGCTATCCGCTCCAGGAACCTTACAGCAGCATCTGACAATGAGTGATTGACAGACGCAGATTTAATTTACTGACCCCAGACATGATAGTCAGCATCTTTGCATTTGTGATAACCAAAGGTTGCATTTCATATAATCACTATCCCTCAGTTTCAGAGACAAAGGTTGTTTTCTATTTATATCCGTCTGTAGAATAATCTGCAATATAACAAAGAGTGAAAAATTTAAGGGGGTCTGAATACTTTCCGTACCCACTGTAGAATCTATAGCTATGTGCACTTAGTGTAAATAGCAAATCGCTAAAAATACTGCTATTTTCACTGTGTAAATAGAATCCATTGTTAGCATCTATTGCGATTTACACTTAGTGCAAATAGCCGCTGCCAAATATTTAAGCGTTGCATCATTAAATTTAGTAGAAACATAACTCTCTTTAAAAGCTAAATATCTGCAGTGGCTGGAATGGAGCGGTGCAGGTATGACGGCAGAACCCAGAGGACTAATTCACTGCTGGTTCCTATGAGGATTTATAATGGTTTTTTTCAATTTGTGAGTAAAATGAAGCCTGTGGTAAACTTAACTTGACGATACACTGAAGTTTTGTTCTACAACATGAAGTACAGTATGCCTTCAATACTCTTCTGCATTTCTGCAAAAATTGAATTTAAACTGTAACAAACAACTTAGGTTACATTTGTATAAAAACAGTGATTAACCTACTCCTAGTTTACTGTATTAAGTAATCATCACCTCACTTGATCAAAGATCAACTAATGGACTTTGATTGGGTGTCATTGGTAATGCATTACAACACCTTTCAGGGCAAATTAGTCTTAAAACTAGTAAACTGCCAACGTAGACAAAATTTCTAGATGTTGTAGGGGTTAACATGTATTCCTGTGCAAAGGTTAACCCCAGTCATAAACCTAGAAGGTGAAATTGCACTTCTATTTACTGCAGGACAGGGTAAGAGGGTCTCTGAGGTACCGTAGTCGGGCTCTGGGTGGACGGTCTTCAGCCGCAGGTATTCTCTGAACAGGGTCGCTGAAGGGTCTTCTGTCCCGGGGCCGTTCTGGACCCCTCCGCCGCCGTTTGGTCCATCTTTATCAAGCAACATACCGGCCCACTGTCCTGTGACGAGACGATTTATTATTAACCAATACACACCCTCATACACGCATATGTGTGAATTTTAAATATATATATAATATCTTTTTTTTTTTTTTTAGAAAATAACGCCTTTTGAAGGGCCATTTTAAGGATTTTTTTAACATTTAACATTTTTTAACATTAACATTATATCACTATATTTATGAAGTACATTTTCATGAACCATAGCTCTATTAACTGTGATTCAAAAGGTGAGAAATAATACTTTCATTCAATAAAGATGCATTAAAATGATCAAACGTGACAGTTTACAATACGTTTCTATTTATATGCAACATTTATATAATCCATAAACATTGCAACATATTTCTATTTCAAATAAATGATGTTCCTTTGAACTTTATATTCATCAAAGAACCCTGAAAAAGTATTTTTAAATATATATTTTAAATAAAAACAATATGCATTTTAAAAAATTGATGTTTAATATTATTAAATTATTTTAAATAGTCTTTGCAAATATTGATTTAAAATTATATTTAATCTTTTTTAAACATTCTCATAAAGGGTTTGGCTACATATTTACACTTAATAAAACAAAACAAAACAAAATTGCAGATCTTACAGATGACTTATTACTGGTTAGTTCTAGTTTCTAGGCTTTTTGAGGTTTGAACCCGCAACCTGACACTGGCTGGTCACATAAACTGCTTAGACTTGCCTTAAAAGTTAGTGTAAACTTACGTATTGTCCATTAAACGTCTGCATAAACCAGTTTACATGTTCATGTAACAAACTTGGAAAAGTTACAACCAGTCTTAAAGAAAAAATGACTTGTAACAGTAGTCTAAGCAGTTTATGCAACCAGCCATTGATTTTAAAGATGGGTGATACATTTTATTTTTTACAATTACATAAAAACATCTAATTTCAGGGGGAAAAATACATAAAACGTAAAACACTTGCCTTCTGGCTAGTTGGTCAGATTAGTTTTTAAGACGCTGTCTTAACCTAGTCACTGTGTTAATGCAGCTGACCCCTGACCTTTAACTGAGTCACACCACCATCAACCACATTTACTTCTTTTACAGAAGGAATACCGCTTTTATTTCACCGTGAGAGGTTTTGATAAACAGCTGTCTTGTCGTAAACACAGGTCAAATAGCACTGTGTCATGTGAACTAATCAACTGCTGCTCGCAGCCTGTTTAACTGTCAACACAAGTAAACAAACATGCAAAACAACATGGCAGGGAAAAGAGCTCGATTATTTACAGAGTAAACATCACTGCACAACAAATACCAGCCTGTTTCAAATCAAACAAACGTCTGTATAGGCCTATTTCACAATATGGTGGCCGAGAACGGAAGTAGGGAAGCGTTACTTCCGGTCGCGCCGCCGCCTGTTACGATCGTCATTCATTCATTCATACAGTCATTGTCATAATGGAGTGCGAACTCGTTTTCTCCCAATCAATAGCACACACAAAAGTGCTGCCCTTCCTCAATGTAAATGCCGCCCCCTCATCTCTTCGTATAGCCCAAATCCAACGCTTTTTCATATTTTCCTCATTGGGAAAGCTATGAAACGATAAGTACGGTTGTTTCTTCTTTGAGTTGAAACACAAAGGTACGCTACAAGATTGACTACTTTTAGTCTCCGCCATTGTTCTGGAAGCGCTTTTACCGGAAAAGAGTTTTCCCTACTTCCGGCTTGCTGACGTCACGTTGTGAAATAGGCCTATTGATTTGTCGCGTGTTTAATAATAAATCTCGCACGCGTGCTACAGTGGTAAATGTATTCATCGCACAGACCAGTTTTTTCGTAGCACGTGCGACATATATGTCGCACTGTACAGCCCTGCTATCCATCGCTGCTGACACATTGACTCACCTGCTTCAGCGCGAGCTCGCTGCTGATTTGCGTCTTAATCAGTAAACAACACCGTTACAAACACCGTCTTTCTCTGTAATGGATATCTGAAGGTAATTTATAACTCACCTTTGCTCCAGGGTCCTCGGCTGAACTCGGGACGTTACTTATGTTCGATCATGCCAAACACACTTCTCATGCTCCGGAGTCTAGCGTCATGACGTCACAAATCTCCGTTACGTACGTGGTGTTTAGAGCGCGTGCGCGAAATGTATGAGACGTTTTTGGTGTACTGCAGTAATGTGTTTCTGAACTGAAATCTTTTTTCTTTATAATGTCTACATCGACTAACGTTACATCTTTGTTTTCATCCTTGCTCCTTGTGTTTATTCTTCTTCTTCTTCTTTAATGTAAACTCTGTGTTTGTCTCAATGGAAGCGTCTTACATTGTTGGTTGTTCCCTGTCTTATGTACATTAAGCAAAAAAAAAAAAAGTTTCTGAAATGAAATTCCCATTCGTTTTCTCTACAGGGATTAAAAAACACCAACAGCTAGAGAGATTTAAGCAGACAACGAACTGAACTGTCTGGACGCAAGACAGTTTATACCACACATTATTTTAAAAAGGTTGGAGGTATTTTTCATAGCATTTTTAGATAAGTGATTTTTATTCCTGGTCCTGTATGTCTTCTTTATTTAGCACGCTTCAGAGCTCGAAAAACACACTGTTTTGCATAATATTGCCAGTTATTTTCCTGAATGGATCAACGTGTTTGAAGGAATCGGTTTAGTGAATGATTCAGAGTCGCTCATAAGTCACTTGCCGCCACCTACTGGTGTAATGAAGAAAGAAACCCGAGTTACTGGAGAACTGGGAAAAGTCCGCAGCTACGCAGATTTATCACATGGTACTTGTGTCTTTTCTCGTCGAAAAAGCTTGTGAATTCTGGAGAATTGTTTTAATAACGTTGTACACATTGCTGCAGTTCTGTGTGTATATCAGGCATCAATCATTGGAACTGATAGATTTTAACTGATTAACCTGACAAATAAATCGTTTGTAAAACATCCGCCGGCTAAAACACGTATTTTGAATTCAACACAACTAATTTCGCCAAAAAGAGCGACGCGTTTTATTTTATTCTACTTTACCTAGATTCACGATATGTATTCAGCTTGATGTGATTTTGAAGCACGTGAAGTATGTGATATCTGTAGTGCATACTAGTACGTAGGCGTTGGTGGTATAGTGGTTAGCATAGCTGCCTTCCAAGCAGTTGACCCGGGTTCGATTCCCGGCCAACGCAGCATGTTTTTCCTGCTTTAACAACTTTTGAGGAAAAGCCCTTTTCACGCCAAGATCGATAATTAGAACGTTTTAATTGTCGTCCTCACTCTATGTTAATTGGGAAGTCCACACTACACTATAACGATTTATTTTTCTGTTCTGGCTGAAAAACGAAAAAAAAAAAAAAGGCGCCACGTTATCGTGCATTAATGTGGATGTAAAGTTAGTATAGTTATCAATCATTATAGTTCTTGGTGAGAGTATTTTTGTTTTCCTACTATGGAAGTCAATGGCAACCACCAACTGTTTGATCACCAGCAATCTTCAAAATATCTTCTTTTGTGTTCAACATAAGAAAGCAACTCATACAGGTTTGGAACGACTTGAGGGTGAGTAAAGACAGACAGAATTTTCATTTTTGGGTGAACTATCCCTTTAAGTGTAAAATACAAAAGACATCAAAACACTACAAAGAACAACTAGACCAAAATATTAGTGTCATGACTATTTATATGTCATATAATAATGCATTACATTATTACAACCAGAGCTGGGTAGTAACTGATCACATGTAGGCTAATCTAGATTACAATCAGATTCCAACAAATTAAGTACTTGTAATTAGATTAAATTACATTTGAAAATAATCAGAGTTACGTTTTTATGGATTAAATGATAACATATTATTTACACAACATCAATAATTTATTCAGAATTGATTGATTCTCCTTAATTCCTCTTTTTCATCTTTTAAATGTTCCTCTCTGATTCTGAAAGTCTTCCAGTTTTGCGGACACTGACACAAAGACCAGTCACTAGTCAGGCGGCTACACAGCATTTGACCACTGGATTTACAAAAATCATTACAGGTTTAAGAAGTGTTTGAACATTGCATCAACTACTGATGAACACATTGATTTTTATTTGAAATTATCACTCAGTCGGTTATTTTACCATGTATTTCTTTGGAAGGCGTTTGTATTTCAAACACATTGAATTGCACAAATTCATCAACTTTTTTGTCATCAGATCCTCTTTGACCTAATATATATATATATATATATATATATATATATATACA